AAATAAAAACCTTGTTAAACAGCTTTTGTTTAGAACTATTTATAAAAATTTGACATTGGTAATATAATAGAACAATATTATTTTGTAAATAAAAACACGGCAACTGTCTTATCCGTTAAGCGTGGAATGGCCCCTATCCTTTTGCCTAGAGTTTCGGTTTTTATATTCGTCCGAAGTATCCCACATATTTTTGTTTTCGTGTTCTGCACTTATTAATAGTTCTGTATCAATATTTAACTCCATGTCGTCAGGGCCTATTTTTGACTTAATGGGGCCCCAAGGCCCAAGCAAAACTTCGCCCCCCATATCAATATCCTATATAACTTTTCAATAAGAATGTTTCTACTTACCTTTGACACCTTCAGGTTTATGATAAAAAAATTTAATTTTTAATTAATCAATTAAAAAATTGTTCTAATAATAAATCTAAAAAAATAAATAAATATTTATTAAAAAAAAACATACATTATTAATTATTTAGTAGGTACAAACAACTAAAAATATATTTAAACGATACTTAAACAAAATTTCTAACTGAAATTAATAACACAACAAAAAAATAAAAAAAACTCAGCTTCTAAGGAACAGCGAACAAAATAAATAATAATTAATAAAAATAAACAACTAATTAATTTTTTTTTTACGTATTTTCATTTCCGAAAACTTATCTATAATACCATTTATTTCTAATTTATCTAGAATATCGCTTTCTACGTTTAGAATAGCCAACGATGAAACATTTTTTTCGTTTAATGAGTTTCTTAGATAGGTTTTTACCCGTTTTAACGTAGAAAATGATCTCTCTCCAGATGCGTTACTAATAGGAATAGTTAAATATATACGAAACAATACCTCAACGTTGGAGAAGGTTGACAAAATGTTGTTATCAATTAAAAATTTTAACATTTCCTGGGGGTCTTTAGAGGAAATATCATTTGATTTACAAAGTGCTTTAAATTGTATAATTTCATCCACTAAATCTTCAGTAGCATCCACATCCATATTATAATATTTTTTTATATTTTTTATACTTACATTAAATCTTTCATTTGAGGGTTCAACAAAAAATACACCAAAAATTTCATTTACACAATCATACGCTTGCATTCTCATTTTTAATTCAAAAATCAATTTGTCACATATAGGAAAAAAACTATTTATTTTAAAGTTTTCAGCACCGCTTAAAGTAATGTCTTGTGCAGGGCCTTCATCAAAGAACTTATTCCTCTTACGAACTCTTGAAATTTCATCCTTATAAACATTATTATTTGGCTGAATTTTTTTGGATTCCTCTTCAATTTCATCAAACTGTTCTCTAAAACTCTCGACAAATTCGATCAATCCGCTATAAAGTGTACAAGCCGCAGTTAGATTGGCTTGATTATTTTGTAGAGATTTACTTGTGGAGTTTATTCTGTCTAGGATTCTTTTCCAAATTGAGGTCATCAAAGCAAATTCAAATGTATTCATTTTGTTAAGTAAATCTCCAGCTTCTGTTCTGGTAGAGTTTTTTTGGTTTGCATCTTCATTTAGCTCTACTAACGCTGTTTTTATTTCACTAAAACCAAGCGCAATAGATTTAATAGCATCAGCTCGTGCTGACCATCTTGTATCACATATTTTCTTAACCAATGGTAATTTAGTTTTTAAAACAGAGAGACATTTTTGAAGTACATCCCATCTGTGCGTCGAAGCCGAAAAAAAGTTATACAAGCATTGTACATTTTCAAAATATCCAGAAGCTTGTAAACAACTTTCGGCAGCACTATTACCGACTAAGTTTAAAGAATGACTGGAACATGGTACAAAATGTGCATTATTTGTCTTTTCTTTTATTTTTGCCTGCAATCCGTTATATTTCCCGGACATATTGGATGCGTTGTCATAACTTTGGCCTCTGCAGTAATTGATATTAATATTAAGGTCACTTAATTTGGTTTGTAAAACATTTGATAGACTTTCTGCAGTATGAGAAAATATTTCCACAAAACCTAAAAACCTTTCTACTGGTTGACCATTAGGTAAAACATATCTTATAATGACAGTTAATTGATCGATATGAGAAATATCAGGCGTTGAATCGACGATAATGGAAAAGTATTTTGCCACTTTCAATTCTGTGATAATAGTATTTTTTACCTCATTTGCAAGAAGGTGAATAAACTCATTGCAAATGGTTGAAGAAAGATAATTAATATGCCCACTTCCAATGTTACCATATTTCTGGAGGTGTCCGGCCAAAAACGGGTCAAACTCACTAAGAAATTCCAACGAGCCTAAATAGTTACCATTCCCTTTTGTAAAAAGTTTAGTTGTGGAACCATAAAATGCTAAACCATTTTTTGATAAAAACTTAATGGTAGCAAGCACTCTTAATAAAACATTTTTCCAGTAGTTTTGTTCCTGCAAGTAACTTTTTTCGATTTCTGCATCTATCCTTCCCTCTATTCGACTTCTATTAATCATTTTGCTGATGGAGGTTATGTGTTCAGATGACCTTTCGTGATTTTTTAGGTACTGAGTCACATTTTTCCAGTCAGTGTAGCCATCGGCAGTAAGCTTGAGATCTTTTTTCGAAAAAAGTTTGCAAACATAACAATAAACACAGCCAGATTTGGGACTGTAAACCAACCACTCACGAAGGGCTTTTTCGCCATTTTCTTTAAATTTATAGAATGTTGAACTTTGTAAGCATCTAGATTTTTTACCATCCAATTGTTTTAGACACCCACTTATTTTGTCAATATTTTGTTCAGGTCTGTTTTTAAGAAAATATTCTTGAAATTTCGAGCTAGATCACAAGGAATTGGTGGGGCTTTACTTTGTTGAGAAGTTTCTTTGTCAATTTCCAATAAATCACTTACGATAACGTTACCATCATCGTCTGCGTGTTGGTGTTCTTGTAACTCGATGGTATCACTAATATTGCTCGTTGAAGCATTTACTTCCTTATCTATTGATGGTGGTTCTGGAAGATCTTGTTGATTTTCTGGTTCCTTTCTGAGGAATGCCAACATTGCGTTTTTTTGTTTTTGTTTTTCATTTTCCCTTACTAATGCCTTTTTACGCTTCTCACTACCACTTTGATGTTTGTAACTCATATTCTGCTACCCTTCTAAAATTAAAATTAAAAACTACATTAATGTTTAGGTAGCAAATATATATATGTTTCGGCTAATGTGCAAACTTGGATAGTTTATAAACTAGCTGGATAGTTTATAAACTAGCCAAACTGTCAGCTATTTTAATTAAAAACATATTTTCAACTAAATTAGCGGCTAGTTTACAAAATAACCAAGGATCTTGGCTAATTTACTTGAAATTATTAGGGAAACTGGATAGTATCCAATTCAGTTCAGGAAAACCCAACTAAAATATGAGGAAACCCAACAAAAATTGGCAAAAATTGCGAAAATATGCGAAAAAAATTGTAAAAAAAAAACTTGTAAAAAAATTAATTTTCATAAAATCCCGCAAAAGTCAAAATTGTGACGTTATACGAAATTAGCCAGAGAATTAGTTGGTTAGTTTACAAACTAGCTAAAGCTTGGCTATTTTGTGTTACTAGAAATTTTGGTTTTCATATTAGCCAAATTGAATTGGATAGTATACAAACTATCCAGCTATTTTAGTTTCCCTAATAATTTCAAGTAAATTAGCCAAGATCCTTGGTTATTTTGTAAACTAGCCGCTAATTTAGTTGAAAATACATTTTCAATTAAAATAGCTGACAGTTTGGCTAGTTTATAAAGGGTCATTCCACGTTACTCGGGGATTTTTGTCCCGCCCGTCACAATTAAAAATTGTGAGTAAAAACTACACGTTATAAAATTTATTTAAAAATATTGTTTTATTATGCTTTTAATAAGTTATAAGCACAATAAAAATAATATTATAAAATATTAATTTTAAAACTTGTGGTCTTTACTCACAATTTTTAATTGTGAAGGGCGGGACAAAAATTACCGAGTAACGTGGAATGCCCCTAAACTATCCAGCTAGTTTATAATTTATCCAAGTTTGCACATTCGCCGTAACATATACAAAAATAATATATTAATTAATAATTATAACTTACCTTAAGTTAAATTTCGGAGTTTCGACGATTGCAATTGTAAAAAGAAATTATAAAATTCACAATAAGTAATACTTTCGACTAGGACTAGGCGGTAATAAAGATTGCGTTGAGCGGCAGCTTTTTCATTCGTAATTCGTCAGCAAAAGATTTGTCGGTACTTATAGCCGCATAAACAAAAACGCCGTAAAAGAGACCGCCGATGTTTTTGAATCTAACTAAAATTATATAGGTATAATATCAATATCGTTATTATACAAATCTAAGCCACTTTTATTTAATATTTAATTTTCTTTATAAAATAGGTATGGCTTTATTTTAAATTTAAATTGAAATGGTTTATAATTTTTTTTCAAGGGCTTTTTTCGGGCCCCATTTTTCTCCGGGCCCAAGGCCCGGGCCTTATGGGCCTTTAGGTAAAATAGGCCCTGCATGTCGTTCGAGTGCATTTGCATAAATGCGTAGGAATAAAACCGGCAATTCAGCTCCCCAGCCAACGCGCGACGCAGCATGTGAATAGCACGTATCACCACCATGCCCAAACGCCTAACGTAGCTACGTCGGGCGTACGGGCCACGCGCTAGCCACGCGCGCGTACACGCCCGCATCTGAAATGTACAATTAAACTCGATGCCAACCGAGTTTCTGGCGTAGGGCGTAGGGCGCGTCATACGCTTCATGTGAAACGGCACTTAAACAATTTAAATAGGAAACAACATTTTTTTTAAGTTGTAAATGTTTTGTTTTAAAATTGTAAAAAATATATTTTATCTATCAATTAGCGGTCATAAAGTACGTTACATGTTTAGGGGAGGGGGGCAACACTTGTGAGAATATTGTGCAATGTGTAACATACCTATAGGTATACCTATAGTGGTCTATAATATTAAATATGTTTTCTCAACAAAATAGGTATTATACTTACATTGATAGTCAAATAAGGCCATTAATACTGCAGAGTATTGTGGTTTCATGTCATATCTAATTAATATTTCTAATAATCTATATACAACTTCAGTTCTGTGGCAACGTAATGAAATATGTACTACATAGGGTATTCTATTAATAATTACATTACATAACCTATCATTTTTCTCTAATAATTCTAGTGCCCTATTCTGGTCTGTATACCATTCACTTAAAAAACATGACTCCCAGGTACACATTAATGGAAAATAATCTTGAAAATCATCTATCATAGTTTTGGAAAACTTAATTAATGATACAAGGGCTGCTTCACTTTTATTACTTATAACATGTTTAGTCAGGGACTTAATCATTATTCGTATTCTTCTCCGTATTAAAGAATTTTCTCTATAAACTTTTTCAAATATTTTGAGCGAATCAGTAATGTTTCCTTTAACCCAAATTGCTTCAGCAAGAAAGTGGTCAAAATTTGAGTTGTCTTTGGTAATTTTGGGATTCAATTCTTTACATAATTCCTCAATTTTAATAATTGTTTTATTATCTCCTTTTCTAGAAAAAATCGACAATATATGCAGTAGAATGGTAAAAGAAGGACACCTTCTTAATTCTATACATTGGTTGGTCAAATCAATCAAAACATTTTCTTTTTCGGAATCTATTGCATTTTGAAAAACTGTATTTAAATAATCATTATCCATTTCTTTTATACCTTCAATTTTATCATTTTCTTGAAGTCTTTTTAGATAGTTGTTGTTAATAATGCTTTCGGCTTTTGCTTTCTTTCTTTCCCATTTGTGTGTTTTTTTCTGCAATAATTGAGATGTAAAGTCATCTATAGCATCTACTTCTAAAGTAATTGCTTTGTTATGTTGACTAAAATGTATACATATTTTAGTAAGATTGCGTGGTATAAGCAATAAGAAAGTTTTTTGTAAGATTGAAGCCATTAAAAAATCTAAAATATGATATTTTTTTAATTTAATCAAAATCGTTTTTTAAGAAGACTTACCCTTTTATTTACATGTTTTAAGTAAGCTACAATTTACTTTTATTTGCATAAAGGAAAATAATTTGTTGACATTTCGGGTTATGTTTAGAAACTAGGGTTATGAAACATAGTCAGGTTATGATGTAAAGTGTCAAAACATTTAAGAAACGTAAATAAAATGTTTTTAAGGTGATATAAAAGTGAAATAAAAAGAATTTAATAAATTTAAAATTTTCAAAACAATAGTAAAATGAATTAAATAGTTTTTTTAATATTAGGCATGATTAAAAATGAAAAACATTATAATACACATTATTCTTTTTGCCACATTTCTGTGTGTTACCTGTGAAACTGACTGTAATTCCTTATTAATGGGGCAATACATTTGCCCTAATCCAGAATACGATTTAATTGATCCCAAAACGCAGCAACTTAAAGGTTGCACAAAGGAAAAAAAATCAAAGGGTATGTAAAATATTAAGTTATTTTTTGATAATTTATAGAAAATTGTTTTAGTTCCATGCCTAGCTGCTGAGGGAATTACGTGCCTAGAATCCCATAACTCCACTTTTTATAAGGATTTTGATTGTAAATGGACGTAAGTTACCTTATAGGCTACACCAAAACAAGTGTTTCATTTTCAAACTCTTAAATTTTAATAAAATGTAGTAACTATGGTTATTATCTATAATTTTTTTTAATAGTACCTATATTATAGAACTAATGTCATAAGATGTAATTTTAGTGCACATGAACAATAAGTATTTGTTTGTATTTATAAATCTTATTTATCGCAAAAAACCTTTAATTAAATTAACGCATTGCGACGTAGGTACCTTCACAGTTACTGTGGTACACAAATCAGTAAAAGTTAAAGGAAGCAAAAACGACTATCCCAACCACCTTTTGATTATATACTTTAATTAAACTTTTTATTTTTTTATTTAGTGTAGTTTAATTGAATTATTTTCTAATTTTAATTTATGCAATTTACAAATATATTAATATGAATTCAGGGTATTTCAGATCTTAATATATTTTATCTACATTGAAAAATATGAAAAAAGTTTCTTAATTATTAAAATTGGTGGACTTAAGGAGGTTTAATTGTTTATGATAACGACAAAACATTATTTTGAGACCAATCCTTTTGCAAATCGATTTTTGGTACAAAACACTTGGTTTAAATTTTTGTTTTGAAAACATATTCCAGATTGGTATTTTTTGAATCATCTGCTTTAAAATAAAAAAACTTAAAAAATGTTTCAGCAGTGATTTTTTTAAATTTAAAAATGTTTTACGGCAACGAAAATTATAACAATAGAGGTGAAATGTTTTTAAATCGAGAGTGTGGCCGTATTTGAAATGTCAAAATCTTCTGTCAGTTATGTTAAGTAAGGTGTGCAATTTAATCATACAAACAACGATTGGAAATAAATTATTTCAAATAATCCAATTTTTTTGTCAAAATAATCGTTCTTATATTGAAACTTGTGCACTTCCAAAGTTCCACATTTGGGCTTGCATCCTTACAAAATTGTTATGACGCAAGAATGCTCTATTCTAATAAAACAGCAACAATTGAGGCATTCAAATTAAATATTGAACACCAAATTCGACAAATACCTAGGTCCTAATTTATTAAATAAAGTGATCGAAAATTGGACTCATCGTATTCAGCTCTATAGGAGAAACATAGGCGGCCATTTGAATGATGTCCTTTTTAGAACATAATTGCATACATTATACTTTAAAATAAAAAAAAATTTGCTCCAACTCATTTTGTTTTATTTAAGAAAGAAAACATATCACTCTTATTGAAAAACCTTTATTTTTAACATTTAAATGTGCACTAGATCATCAGCTATAAAAAATTTTTTTTTAAAATTATATACACATACCTATTAAGAAAGAAAACTTTTTTATTTTTGTATCTTACATGGCCTGAGTAACGGTAAATTTTTTCAAAGTATACTTGCATACTCGCACCTAGATTTTTTTGTAATTTACAGAAGACCTATAATATATACTTTTAATATATTTTTAAATCAGGTTTCTTTTAAATGCTAATAACATAAGTAAGATTTAACCAGAAATTTTTTTGTTTGTAAAACCACAACTTTTAAGTTATTAAGGAAGTAAAATTACATGCTTTGATTTTTTATTTAAAAATCAGTTCTCCTTATTAAAATTTGTGTATTGTAAAATTTAATATTATTAAAATTAAAACCACATAAATTATGTTAAAAATATTTTAATTACAACTTTAATAAACAATAAAATTAAATATTTATGTTACCCACCCTTATTACAAAAAACCCTCCATCTAACAAATTAACCTATAGGTTATTATAATAAAGATTTAAATGTATGCTATTGTAAAAGCAACATTTTAACATGTAATTTAAGTACTTTGTACCGTTGCCAAACTTCAGATCCGATTCCAATCCAATCCTTCATTTTTCATTTTGCAGATGTGTTTGACACTAAGGTTTGACATGATAAAATATAGTATAAAGTTTTGGTGTTGTTTTTCTATTTAAAACTAATAAATCATTTTAAATTGAAGGATTAGGTCTTTAAAATTAGGAGCCAATCCCCTGCTAAAACAAGCATATACCTACAACTTATTTTCAGCTTTCAAGACATTTAACAAATTTAAAGCATTCACTTGGGCAAATAGATATTAGCAAATTTGATTAAAGGTTTTGACATGAATTGCCAGTAAATAAACCCCCATGCAAGTCTTGCCGTTGTACGTTTGTTCTTTTTGCATTGCGTTATAAATTGTATTAAGGAAACCTAACAATAAATGCAATTCAGATGGTGGAAGTATATAAAAAAAAATATTTTTTGTACTTGGTATTAAAGGCTTATGCACACAATTATAAAAAATTGATTTTTTTCGTCACTACCCTGCCAAAAATTCACAAACAAATTAGTTTTTGAATTGTTTTAATCAGAGGATAATGTTAAATATTAGTTTCTATTGGTTACTGGCAAACTTTATTAAACGGTTCAATATGGTACCTATCAATGTTTCTCAATGAGCTGAATGAGTTTGAAAATTTTTATATTAGTTTGTAAAATCATTTTTTCTATTTTTATCAATGTTTCTCAATGAGCTGAATGAGTTTGAAAATGTTTATATTAGTTTGTAAAATCATATTTTCTATTTGTATACATTGTATGTTTTATTTATAGATTATTTAATAGGTTCAATTTTATTTTATACAGTTAGATTTTATAGGTACCTACCTAATTAATGTGAACTGTTTTTCTGACCCTATGTGTTTCTACGTTAAACGATTTTTGGATGGGTAAAAGTTCGCGCCCCAACAGTGAAAGTATTGCAAACCTGGGGGCGGTAAAACATCGGGGGCAGCGGCGAAAAAATATTTTTTCCGAAAGACAAATTTTGCAAAAAGGTTATTTTTTGTATTTCTCGATTTTTGCAAAAAGGGTGTTTTTTATTTATTTATTTTTACTAAAAGGGTATTTTTATCCTTTTATATTTTTTCAGAAAAAAAAATTTTCGAAAACAATTTTTTTTTGAAAAACAGTTTTTTTGCAAAAAAGGTATTTTTAGATAAATATATAAATCAAATAAAAAGAGCACATTTACTCAGAGACTCTCCCTTGTCTCTGCATTTACTGTTTTAAGATGTAAAATATATATTTAAAACGCCCAATAAACATAACTGTCTCTTTTTGTACCTACCAGGTAACCTGCTACATTTCCCGTGTAAGAATGTTTAATACTTTTTAATAATATTTTGCAATTAAAATCAAAAGGGTAAAATATTTTCCTAAAATAATCATATTTTAAATTATTTTAATAATTTGAAGTGTCAATAAATGTTAAGTTTAATTCAAATTAATAACGGGCAATGTGAATGGTGACAATTAAAATGTTTATTGCCAACAAAAAGCTGCAATAAAAAAATAACTGTATTCGAAAAGAGCAGACTATAACGGTAAAGTTGGCTACACTGCTAGCCCGGCCATCGCAATGCAAGCCGTCCATCGTGTAGCTTTGTGGAACAGCCATATTTTGGCGTCTCTTCGAAAGACTCTTTCCCAGTGCTGCCAATGACACGGCAATTGCCGAGTTTTCACGGCTTTTCATACTAAATGTATGGCCACGGCTTATGGTACTGCCGTGCATTTAAAACACGGCTTTTTCGTAAAAATAATAAATTCATGTTTCACCATTTCTGTCTAAAAATATTTAATTTTAAATAAAAATGCTATTTAAAAATATCAAATTCATATTTTACCATTTCTGTTATGAATGATTATAACGCATTGTTTTTTATTAAAGTTGTACATATCATTAATCTTTGTAACTGATTGCTAGACTTGAGAGGCAGGTAATATACTTAATACTCGGAAATTCCTTATGTTTATTATTTAACTAAGTCTAAGACTTTTTTAATTCGTAGATTTTTGAGGTCTAAATAGTTCATGACATCTAATTATCATCAAATCGTCTTATTATCTATATCAAATATTTCAATCATGAGAACTTAATAAATTACACAGGGCCTTCAAAAATATATTTATTCTTCATCTGAAATGTGTACTATGCTTCTTACATGAAACTTGAAAACAAATAATTGAGGTTATTTATCTGTCAGTTTAATGCTAATTTTGACCTATTTTCTAAAAATAATACAATGGCTATGTTCCGTAATTTACTGTCAGTACTGTCGGTACTAAAAACGCATTCCGAAATCCACTTTCAGTTACTGAGCTCAGTGGTAAATACAACACTTTTATAAATGTACGGCAGATTAATTTTACTGAAACAACTGGTGACAGAGAGGTGCTGTGGCTCCAGTAAAACACATAACCAAACTTTTAAACAAAAAATAGCTGTCAAATAAAATTTTATATGTATATTTGTATTCAGCGGACGAATTTAGAGTAATTTTTGGTATTTGGCTTATTGTTGTGGTGTCAGTGAAAGTTTATATTTCCTATTCCTATATACATTTTTCGACGCGGACGACGATAACATTAAATTTTCCATATTTCTCTGCAGGGGCGGATAGTGTATAAGGGCAGCAGAGCTGCAGAACTCCCAAAATTTTCTTATTACTTGAATAATTTTTTAATTATTTAATATTTAAGTGCAACAGTGTATACATATTTCAAACGCATGGCTGCATAAAAAGTTTTTATTATAAATATTCGGCGTGTCGCCGTACTTGGCCACTACAGTCATCCAAACGACCGGTAAAGGTCTCTAACGCTTAACGCTTACAATACAACAAAGCTGGGCCACTTTCGAGTTCTGGCTCCCATTTCAATACCGTAATTTTGCTCCGCGCCGCTCTTGGTTCTGGGTTAAGATAGCAAAATTTAAGCCAAACCGGAGCTGCACCAACATACAGTTCCTACTTCCCGGTCGTTTGTTTTTCGCTTCGCGTTCACGTTTGTTATTTTAACTATAGAAGACAGTTAATTCTGTGTATTTTTGTGTTTTGTGTTTGTTGTTGTATTCTTTTGTAAGAATGAATGTGGTGTATGATTTAATTAATTATCTGTAGGTACCATTTAATTAAATGCCAACTGCGCCACATTTTTTTAAAC